CCATACCTCCTGCTATCCGGGCAGTTGTCCTAAGCCAATTAGACTAGAAGCCGCATCTTAATCATCGTTTAGCGTCCAAGTGAATCATCATGGACGCTAACAATTCCCAAGTAGAATCGATGAAGAGATTAAATTATTTTAGGTATGAAAGAATTTTCAGGAATCGTTTCTGTTTCGAAGTTTTTACAAAGAATCGATTTAGATGTTTCGATTGAATTTTATTGAAGATAAACATCGAGAAATAAATAAAATATTTTATATCGAACATTCTAAAAGCTTTAGAGTGTTTAAAAGAGTTTAATAAATGTTTTACGAAATTTTATTCATCGAACGAAATGGAAATTTTTTGATTTTAAATTCCGATCGAATAAGTAAACATGTTTAATGACAAAATATGATAAAAAATGTAAATTTCATTAGAAATATGAGTAGAATGCTGTTATATAATCATTCATCACTTAGTAAAGGAAAATTTCAATTATTTAACCAGTTCAACACTATCCACATATCCGATAGAAGAACTTTTCACGCTAAATATTCATATTATAAAACTTCATTAAGATAGTGTCGAGATGTCAAAAGGGAAAGAATTATGGAATAATCAAATAATTTTCAATATCTAAAACTAATGATTGGTTTTAGTTGAATCTTTTTCCTACTCAAAATAGACGAACAAGAGTTAATTAGGCATTATTTTTGAGAAAAGTAGATAAGAATAATGTTAGAAAATAGATTTATTATAAAAGATTTTATAAATTCTGTTTGTCGTTAAATTTCATGTGAACATGAACTATAGTTAATCGTTTTGAGAGACAATAACAAAAGGTTGATAAAGCTTGTTCCTTGGTATCGAAGAATGACCGACTTAGTCAATTGTTGGTTTTCTTTTTCAAACGAATGAAAGCAAAATAGTTTCATGACCTTAATTTTTCAGGAGTCTGATCTGGTAAACAAAAATTCAATTTCGGTATAAAGTTCCTCAGAGAAACTAAAAAAAGAATCAAATTGCTAAAATGAGTTTGTGACATCCTTCATTTATTTTATTCAATCAGGTTTAGTCATAATCGATGTGGATATTGGTGAATAGATGCTCGATATCCATACTCTCAAGACAAACAAAAAATCGATGAAGAAACTTTCTCTGAATGATAATAGTAAAAAATTCCAAGTTAGATTTTCTTCACTTTCAACTGAAATTCGGTAATATGTAAAAAAATAAGTTACTTTTAGAGTTTATGATAACCTTCTCTTCATTTTTATTACTCCATCAATGCGTTCTTTGAAAATAAATTATTTTATCAAGTATTTCAGAAATTTTACCGCTTTTAAGAATCTTTCAATGATCATAAAAACTTGATAAGATTTTCTGAGCTATTTTATTATGTTTCAAATATTTTTCAGATTGATTTTAATTATATTAATATTTGTAGTAGCTTGAGTTTTATTTGCAGAAAAGTATCCAACATATTAAATCGATGGGTTTTGTCTGAAAAATAGTTCAAAAGAAGACTTTTGTTGGACTTAATTGATAAAAGCAGCGTCTAGAACAAGGGAAGAAACGATAGATTTCTCTAGGTTTTCGAAATTTTTATAATCACTGATGACATTCCCAAAATTCATATCTCATCTATATAGTCTTCTAGTCCTGTAAAACTCATAGAATTCAGTGTCAAGATTTCACTGCTCTATTACATGATTAGAAAAGCTATATTAGAATATTAAGCACTATCCTACGCGAACCTCCTTTCTTTATATTTGATTTGTGCAGTTCTCAAGATTTATTCATTTTGTATAGCTTTCTTGCTTCAGATTCTCTATTGCCTCGTGCACGTATCAAAAATTACTTTTAATATGTAATTTGAAGTGTTGATGTGAGCGCAGATGAAGATAAGATATTTCCACCCAATAGAGTTATGTAGATATTTTTCATAGAATTCGATTGTAGTAAATTTGGCAATGTGCTTGAAGAAAAACAATAAGCACGGTAGACAAATAGTGTCAAAATTGAAAACTAAATTCAATTATTGTTTTATTGTCTAGATACTAAAATAGCAAGGGCTATTCTTTTTTCAGGCTAAGCCATCGTAGCTCCTTCATTATCACAGATCCTCCATATGTAAGTGTTTTCATGAAAAACTTGAACAGTTAAACTTAAGATTAAACAAGCCAATACTTGAGTTTTCACTTTTTAAGTTTTATTAGATTTCAACTGTCCATCACACTTATATGTCTTCTCATAGAAGTGCCACAGAAATACAGACGATTGAAAATTGAATTTATTGTAATCTTCAAGTTTCACACAATATGAGTTTTGCCTTCTAATACATATCTAATTAATACTCAGAACATTCTAAAGAAGAAGCTGAAATTTTGATGATCATTGATTGTTTTTTTATCAGTAAATTGATCCATTTTCAAATAAAGGTCTGGAAATGCGTGATTTCAATTGGAGTTTAGAGTTCTGTAATTTGTTTTATTAAAAACCAAGAAATTATTATTAGTCACTTCGTATTTTACAAAACTATCTAGAAATAATTCATCCTGATTAAGTATAAAAAACTGATTCTTTCGTAGAACTTAAAGGTGCTCCATCAAGAACCGAGTAAGTGGAGAATGCAAACAAATAGCAGTCTGGAATTTTCAGTAGTCGAAAGAGAAAGCAAGGCTATTATAAAAACGATGATGGTCTTATATTGTAGATGCTTCGACTATGTCTACAGCAGTTACATATGAAACAAGAACAAGAGTACCCTCCAGCAGCCCTCGAATAAATAGAGGTAAGATATTGCTCAAAATTGTCTTCAATATGAGATTGATTATTTGAGATGCGATCTATTTGATTAAAATAACTATCATTTTTTAGATTCAATGAATACATAGGAGAAATTCTACGATTATATGGTTATATTTCGAGGGAATTTTTTTCGCATGTCAGTAGTACTCTTCGTGTAGTTACTCGATTTTTTTGAATGAATGCTACGATTTATTCCCAGATAAGAAATATATGCCGCTAATGAAAACGAGATTTTTTCGTTTCTAACCATGAAAATCAGTTGGAGACATTGACTTCCTGCATATATGATTGAATCATTCTTAAATATTTCTCTGAAATTCTTTATCTCATTGAACGTCAAATAAAAGTCAAAAGCAAACTATGATTTTGTGACCATTATAATCTTATAATGAATCCGAAATTAATTTGTCCTTCAAGTTTCGAAAGATACCATTAAACTTAGGTTTTGGATTGTGCTCAAAAATGCTAGAACAGAAAAATCTATGATTTGAAATTGGCGTACATTAACCGATAGGATATGTTATGTCAGAGACTATATTTAAATGTTGTATGTAACAATATATTTAGTTCTTTTTATTGATAGAGCAACTGAAATTCTTATGAAATTACAATGAGATACTGAAAGTTGATGGTTTCATCGATTATTTGAGAGCTTGAAAAGGTTTTGAGTTTTCATAATCTTGTTATATTTATAAGTTCTTGAGTTTTATCGATTTCAATCAGTTTTCGAACTTCATTCACACGTATGAAATATCTGAATTTCTTTACTTCATTGAATTTCGATGATTTACGACAGTTGTAGGGTTATCAAAATTCTATTCATAATATGTCTTCATTATAAGAAAAAAGGTTTATTCATTAACAACGTATCTGACAATACAGAGAAGTTTTTCGTATAAAAATCATTATAATTTAGATTTGTTGATAAAAGTCAAAGAATGTGAGTTTCTTAGGTGAATGTATACTGTTTTGGTATAAGTTTCGTATCTTTTGATTAGTAAAATTATATTGTTAATATAAAACTACATTTTGAGATAAGGGACTATATAATCTGATAGTGCCTCGGAATTCTCTATCATCCTGTGTATTTAGATCTTGGCTTGCATTTATTTATCGATAAATATTTCGAATATTGTCAAAGGGATGAAGATTTTTTTCACTATACTGGAAATATTTTCTAAGGAATAAATGCAACTCAAGACCCGAATACACAGTAATAGAGAATTCCAAGCGCTATTAGATTGTACAATTACATTTCTTAAAGTTTAGTTTTATGTTTGCATTATAATTCTAATGATTCAAACGTGTAGAACTTATGAAACAAAAGGATAGGAAAATGTGTCGATTATACTAACAATAGCAAAGACATATCTCACACGCAGCCACATGCTAATAATCATGGTTAATAGATGGACGAGCTTATTTTATTCAAAAAAGCATATATATATATATATATTAGTGAACTGCAGCTTTGTAGTGCGTGGTAACGCTTTCTCGACACTAAACTGTATACTCTTGAAAGTATACGATTACTTTAGCAATAATATACTGCTGACAAAAGAAAGATCGAGATTGATTCCTAAAAGCTCAAAATAGTAAAAGTACTTTGTATTTGTTTGCAATGGATGGAGGGCAAGTTTCGACCACGAATCGAATCGTATAAAAAATTACTTTAAACGATTTTTATTTGAGAAAATTGATCACAAAACGAGTCAGTCAACAAAGTGAATGAAAGTTGAATTTCCAGTAACCTTTTTACTTTTCTTGCGTAAAAATAAGTAACTAGGTTCTTATGGTTTCCAATGATCTATAAATCATAGAATTATGTGATCAAAACACATTCAAACTACTAGCTGTTTTTGAGTGTCTTGTGTAAATATAAAATAGATAAACAGTAGTCTCTTTTAATCATGGTTATAAAATTGATAATTAAGACTATAAACACTAATCCGATGAAAAACGATACATATTGTCAAAAAACTTACAATGCTCGTAAGGCATCTTCTATAATACAAATTACTACTTTTCTCTACTCTGAAAGGACTATTATGAGACAATAAACTGCAGACTGAAATTAGAATTTCGGAAGAACATAAAAATCTCCTTGGAATTTCGTATTAAGTAGTTTCATTCTGGAAAGTTTGACATTTCAGACATTAGAACGAGTACTTTCTCTCGTGTATGAGAGAGAAAGATCTCTTCGACAATGACGATTCTTTTTTCTTTGTTCATTGTAGTCATTCCCAATATTCCAATCGATGCTCGATGGTCACAGAATGGAAAGACTGTTGCTGGAGGGAATGGAAAAGGCAATGCCACAAATCAACTTTGGCATCCTCAAGGTCTCTTCATTGATGATGATCAAACAATGATAATTGCTGACTGGGGAAATAATCGTATTGTCAAATGGAAAATGGATGATACGAATGGACAAGTTGTAGCTGGTGGAAAGGGCTACGGAAATCGTTTGGATCAATTTAATTATCCAACCGATGTGCTGATTGATAAAGAGACTGATAGTCTCATTGTCTGCGATTGGTTGAATCACCGAGTTGTACGATGGTTTCGTCGTAATGGCACAACTCAAGGAGAAATTCTCATTGACAACATCGATTGTTATGGATTGTATATGGATGACCAGAGATATCTCTATATTTCTGACTACAAAAAACATGAGGTAAAACAATATCAAATAGGAGACAAGAATGGAATTATCGTGGCTGGTGGATATGGAGAAGGTTCTGGTCTCAACCAACTCAACGTTCCCACCTACATTTTTGTTGATGAACAACAGACTCTCTACGTATCAGACAACAACAATCATCGTGTAATGAAATGGAATAAAGGTGCAAAAGAAGGCATTGTCGTTGCTGGAGGTGAAGGCAGAGGAGATGCTCTAACACAATTGTATTATCCTAACGGACTCTTCGTCGATCTTTTGGGTACCATCTATGTGGCAGATTCGTGGAATAATCGAGTTATGCGTTGGACTAAAGGAGCAGAGCAAGGCACTGTCGTTGTGGGTGGAAATGATTCAGGAGCAGGACCAAATCAGTTCAATGTTCCCAATGATTTGTCCTTCGATCTAGAAGGCAATCTCTATGTCGTTGATGGTGGTTGGAATGGAAATAATCGTGTTCAGTTTTTTTCTATTAATTGAATTGCATCCGAATCAAAATCCTTTTTTTTTAATTTCTATTTATGCCCGCGCGCGACCGGGAATCATCCTCGTGTCGTTGTGGCGAGCGTAATGCTCGTACACGTGCGGAAAGAGGTTATGGGTGTCTCTGTGATTGTGTGTTACAGTGTAGCTGTGAATGAGTGTGAGCTTGAGTAAGAGCACAAAATACCTTTACATTCATATTCACACCTGAGCGTGGGTGTGGAGTGTATATCGTTGTGAATGTGCGTGAAGAGCAGACAATCATCCACACCGTGACCGAATTATTGGAGCTACAAGGTTTAGCAGAAGAAATTAGTATTCTAACAACATCTGCAAATGAGAATGAGGAGGCAGTGTGGGTGTTATTAAAGAAAATACCCATACCCATACGTATCTGAATAGAACCTTCAACAAGATTGAGACACTTGTTATGGCGACTTGTCACACTCGATAAAAGAGAGAACTAAAGCAATCTTCTACCAAGACAAAAAAGTGATCTTAAAGCAAAACTGAATGTAATTACGAACGTATTGCTTATATTAAAAAAATTTAAAGACTGTGATTAATATTTTGCATTAATTAAAGCTAAACGAAGTGTAACAAATTCACGGATTTTCTATGCAATATAGATACAAAACATCATTTTATTTTTTTTTCGTCCTCATTCAGATATTTTCCTTACATTTATTGCATTTCTTAATGCACAGATTTTGTACGACTTGGAAGTGTATATTTAATAGGTGAACTTTATATGGCTTGCTCATTTCGTCTATGAGGAATATATAGCATTCTTTTGTGGAACTCACGTATATTTTCGAAGAAAATACTGAATGTAAGTTGTAAGCCGAGGTTTCGCGGCTCCCTCCTCCCCCCACCCCATTACAGACACATAGTAACGGGAAAGAGAACATTACAGCCATACCCCCATTACAGACCTCAGCAACCATCCATGGAAGACTATATTCTATATAATATATCAAGGATTTCATAAATACTCGAAAAAAACACTATTTTGCAGTTTTAAAATCAGACATCAGGATAGTAAATTTAAAAGATATACTTGAGTTCCACATTTCAGCTCCTTTGGAGCTGTGCTGACAAGCTTTTTTTCTTGTTATCGGTGTATTTTATGCGGTAGTTTTAATTTATTTCGTTTTTATTCGTTTGTTTAATATTCTGGCATTTACTTGGTATTCTCTATTTTTTGATGATATTATAATCAATTAAATTGGAAGCTTACGGTGACTTTATCATTTAATAAAAATCTCCAGAAAAGTGCCTATACTCTTTGATATAATGCGTTCGTTTTTTACATCACATATTCCAAAGTCC